GAATCAGAAATGGTACACATTACCAAGAAACTAACAACATTCATTTGCTTTGGCTTCCATGGACCACAGAGATGTGGACCACCTGGACATCCCACAGAGCATCACACTGATTCGTTGTATTGATGGCATCAGGCTGATCAAGCAGCATGAGCAAGAGGTCGCCAGACGCTGGAAGCCCTAGTAAGAGAAGTGCACCGCACAAGGCTGGATACAAATGCTACAGAGAGTCAGGGTCAGGGACCAGCACAGCCACTGTGAAGGTTTTAGGGGTCTAATGGTTAGAGCTGTACCAGAACATCCCCTCTAAAGTAAAAGACAGACCCAGTGGGAGAATCATGATGCTGTCCTGAAATTCCAGAGTGAGACAATGCAATCTGCGGCAGGCAAGCACACATCTTTGTAGAAACAACTCTTGATGTGTTCCTGGGTCCTAGTAGAGACAGAATGCTTGACCTTTGGGTACAGAATGATCATGTATCTTTAATTGTCTAACTATGAGCTGGGTTATGTCATACCCACCAAGTGAGAGAGTTGGGTGGCCCCAGCAGCAGTACAGTGTAAGCTGGGAATGGTATATTTGGGACCAAGCTGCCTGGATGGATAGTCCAGACCCCATGTCACCTATCACATCTGAATAAGTATCCCTTCCCCTGCTTACACTTACGCCTTGTTGGGGGCCCTTGAGACCAGCTGCAGGCAGAGAGGAAGAACCCCTAGGTTGCTTGATAGATAAGCTGGCCTTGTTGCCAGATACAAGGCAAAAATGGATGGTGGCTGCAATATAGCCACAGTCAAGGGTGGTCTTGAATGGATGAAGCGGAGATAGAAAATCCTGCCAATGGGTGGATATAGCTGCAAGTGATGCATGAACCACCCATTTTGTGTGAAAGCAAAAGTGCTCTGAGGTGAGCACATATAGAGGCTTACAGGCACAGGGCATCAGGTCATCTGATCAGAGTCATAGAAGAAAAAGGGCTCCTCATTGGAATGGAGGCCCCTGGGATCCGCATGGTCTTGAAGAAGAGATTTAGACATTGCCTAAAAACTGAACAGGAATTTTGAATTTTCTGTTGCCACCTTGGAAAGAGACGACCCTCCAAAACTGAGAGGAGAAGAAAAGCGAGACTGGGGTCCTTCTCAGTCTCCTTTGCTGGTGTCTTCTCACATCCTGGACATCAGGATGATGGGCAAGTCCTCGGATATGTCCATTCCTTTAACTCCGTATTAAACTAACTTCCTAGAGGATCTTGTAGCATCTTGTGGCTTAAAATAACACCTATATGCTGATGGCTCCCAAATTTATGTCAGTTCATCAAAATTAAAAACTCTGTGCTTCAAAGAACACAATCAAGGAAGGAAAAGACAAGGTGGGAGGGTATGGCTTAGTGGTATAGTGTGTGCTTAGCATGCATGAGGTCCTGCGTTTAATCCCCCATACCTCCATTAATTAAATAAATAAATACATAAATAAATAAAAATAAACCGAATTGCCTCCCCCACCAAAAAACAAAGGAGGGAAGCAAGGAAGGAAGAAAAAAGGAAGGAAGGAAGGAAGAGAGAGAGAGAGAGAGAGAGAAAGAAAGAAAGAAAG